CAGAACCGGGGATTGAACTCAGGCCCTTGCGCTTGCCAGGGAAGCACTTATTCCACTGAGCCATCTCCTCGTCCCTATGAAAATTTTCTTGCCAGGTTGTAACAGAATAACGTTTGCTATCCAAGTGAATTATTCTTGTTGTTATGCAAAAAGAAATTAGAGAGGGATAGAAAAGGAATCAGGGAAACCAGTTAGAAGGCTCACGGAATGCCAGACAAAACCCTGAATCAGAACGGCTGCCATGAGAGTGGAGAAAAGTACACGTAGGATTCAAGGATGGGATCTAGCCTTCCATTCGGGGCAGTGGGGTAAATGAATTTCTGATGGTTGAGTAGAGGTGAAAAAAACCTTTCGAACTTAGGACTCACTGAAGTTGAGATCCTTATAGGACATTACAAATGGAGCTTGATCATTAGTTGTCACACAGACAAATCCAGAACGCCACAGAGAGAGCCGAGCTGGCAATCTATACGTATATAGGAGAAGTGGGGGGTAGATGAGGACACAGAAGCAGGTAGCCCTGCCCAGGAGGCAGATGACACAGGTGAGGGCCCAGCCCGAGTGCAGAGGAAGGCCTCACTTACCACGCTGGCAGGAAAGGGGTCCTGGACATAAACTCCACAGGGCAGGGAATTAGGTCTGTTTTGTCACTATTGTGTGACAGTGCCTGCCACAGAGTCGGCACACAATAAACACTTGCTGACAGAACAGAAAAGGTATAAACAATGCCTGAGGAAAATACAGGCAAGGGAACCGAAAAGGCACTTCTCCAAAGAAGAACCACAAGTGGCTAATGCATATATGGAAAAAAAAATGTTCATCATCTTTAGTCACTAGGGAAATGCAGACCAAAACAACTTTGAGATGCCGTCATACTTTAGAGTGGCTATCATCAAGAACGCTGAAAAAAAAACGAGTGGGGGTGAGGAGGGGGTGGGGGAAAAGCCCTCCTACACTGTCAGCAGGAATGTAAACTAGTACGGCCACTACGGACACCACTGACAGCCAGGAACAGTGCAGCATGCATGTGATCCCAGCACTCAGGAGGCTGAGGCAGGAGGATCAGCGTTAGTTCAAGGCCAACCTGGGCCACATACTGAGTTCACACCAACCTGAACTACACAGTGAGACACTGTAACAAAAAACCAAAACAACCAAAAACGAATCAGTAGGGAGATTGGACAAAACAACTATAAACAGAAATACCAGGGGCTGGTGAGATGGCTCAGTGGTCTAAAGCACCTGCTTAGAACAAGCTTAGCAAAGCACAGGGACCGCAGTTCAATCCCCCAGCACCACATGCCAGCCAGCCCCGCCCCCTGGTGGGCTGAGCTGGCCACACACACACACACACACACACACACACACACACACACACATAAATAAAATTAAAAAATAAAGAAAGAAAGAAATACCATTTGGCCCAGATATGCCTCTCCTGGGTATATTTCTGAGAAAATTAAAGACACCAGACTAGGGTGATAGATGCACAGCCACATTTATCCCAGCACAGTTCACAACAGCTATGCTTTGGAAACAGCCTCTTGCCTGTCAATGCCAGAATGACTCACGAAAATGTGGGGTAACACACAGAATAGAATATTATTCAGCCATGAAGAAGGAAATTGTTGGGTGTGGTGATGCAAACCTGCAGGTCCCAGGATCTCCTCAAGCTCAAGGCCAGCCTGGGGCTACACAATGAGCTCAAGGCCAGCCTAAATGTCTTAGGGAGAAAGAGACAGACAGACAGGCAGACGACAGACAAGCAGGCAGGCAGGCAGAGACAGAGACAGAGACAGAAACAGAGACAGAGACAGAGAGACAGAGAGAAAGAGAAGAAAGCATGTCATTTGCATGAAAAATACAGTGGCACCTCAGTTCGTAGACGCTTTTGTTCACAGTCAAGTTGGCCCAGCAAAAATTTGTATTTGTTTGCAAACTCTGCTTCGGGTGACAAACATGACCACAGCCATCTTTCCCATGCAAACACAGACATGGCCATATTTTCCAAAACTGTGAAACAAATTAAGTTCGTGAGCCTGGGTACCATTGTAGATGGAACTTGAGACCATCGTACTAAGCAAAATAAGCCAGACTCAGAGAGTTGAATATCATGTTTTCATTTATGAGAAACCTAAAATATAAATATGTGACATCTGTAGGAAAATGGATGTACATGAGCCTCCAGTGTTAAGTGAAATAAATCAGACTCATATGCTTAGGAATTTTTTTTGCGGGAGGCTGGCTCAGGCTGCCTTAAAGGCGGGTCTGGCAAGGCATGGGGAGCTGGGGATCGAACTGCGGTCCCCTGCGCCTGGCTGGGTTTACTCCAGCAGGCGCTTAGACAATTGAGCTAACCTGCAAGCCCTGTCAAACGCTTAAATGTCACATAATTTCTCTTAGATGAGAAACCCAAAGTATAAATATATTCAAAGTAAAATAAAAGATAAATCACAGGAAACCAGGAGAGACACCTTTTGTAAAAGGGAAGGAGACCAAGAGAGGGAAGCAGGGAGCGGGGAAGGAAATGAAAAAAGAAAAAGGTAAGTGTAGTCCATGAGCCAGCACCCACAGTGAATGTAGTCATTATATAACGCAACTATATACTAATAAAAATTAAAATGTAAAATAAATAGTAAATAAAGGAGTAATGACGGGAAACTAGAAGCTAGACCCTTAAAGGTGGAGAGGATGGAGGAAAGAGGGACGAGTGGAGAGAAAAGGTTTGAAAATGACCAAGATTGGCCGGGGAGATGGCTCAGTAGAATAAGCGCTTGTCTGGTGCACAAGAGCCTGAGTTCAATCCCCGGTTCCACAAGAAAGAAAGAAAGAAAGAAAGAAAGAAAGAAAGAAAGAAAGAAAGAAAGAACCAAGGGCCTGCGTTTAATCCCCGGTTCCACAAGAAAGAAAGAAAGAAAGAAAGAAAGAAAGAAAGAAAGAAAGAAAGAAAGAAAGAAAGAAAGAAAGAAAGAGAAGAAAATGACCAAGATATATGATACGCATGTCCCAGTTCCACAAAATAAACATCACTCTAGAACATGTTCTAGTAATAACAACTTTAAAAAACAAAAGCAGCAAAGAGCTGGGGGTCAAGAAACAGCACTTCAAGAAGGTAGAGTCAGTAGAGTCAAACACGAAAACTAAGCGAAGCACCTAAAGCAGATCTAGCGTCTCCGGAGATGGAGCTTACCAGCTGCTCCTCGGGATTGACTCCTGGTTCGCAGAGGGCCAGAGGCCTGTCCTGTTCATCTTCAGGTAAGGAGCCATTGAGCAGCAAGGCCTGAATAACCACAAAGGCAGAGAGAAACTTCACTCCCCATCAGATGACTGCGTGTGGAGCTGGGCTTGGTAAATTCACCGCAAATTAAAATCACAGCTGCCTCTAGAAATCTCCTCGGGAACTGTGCTCCCTCGATTCTTCCAATTCCTTCTCTGGGAACTACTGCAGCTGCTTCTGTCCAGCCAGTCCCCCAGGCCTCTTTCATCCCTCCACATGCACCTGAAACCTCTGCTCCAGAGTCCCATGTCCCCAGAAGAAAACCTAAAAGCAAACCTACTCTTCAGAAGCAACAGAACATGTTTCAGACTGGAGCTGTCCAAACTAAAATTTACCAGCTGGAAAGCAGTGCAGAGCTATCCTAGGCGGGCGTGGTGGCGCATGCCTGTAATCCCAGTGCTCTGGAGGCTGAGGCAGGATTGCCACAAATTCAAGGTCAGCCTAATCTACATAGTGAGTTCAAGTTTAAGTTACACAGCAAGACACTGTCACAAATAAACGAACCGCTGACCTAGAAAATTGTACTATATGTGATAGGGGTTTTGTTGTTGTTGTTGTTTTGGGGGTTTTTCTGTAGCTTAGGGAAGGGTTTACAGGGTGTTCAGGGTCTCACTACTAGATCAAACTCATAGTGATCTGCCTGTTTATAGCCTCCCAAGAGCTGGGATTACAGGCGCATGTCACCACACCCAGTCTTAATCTCTGTCTCGGTGAGCCCTGGGAGTGAGGCTGGCATGGCAGGCCTGGGAATTAAACCCCCAACCCCTGCGCCTTCTTGCAGGTGCTTTAATCCGCTGAGATATTTGGCTGTGATAGTTTTTGTTTGTTTTTGTTCTCGGTTCATAGTGCTGCGCATAGAACCCAAGGCCTTGCTTATTGTAGATAAGCACCCTGCCACGGACTCGTACCCTGAGTCTCAGAAAAGTCCATTATAA